ATTTTTTTTATGTCTTCTTATTATTACTATTATTTTTCTATACCAAACAGAAATTTTTACAAAAGAAAGAAATTTAATATGAAATATATTTATATATTATATATTAATATATATGTTTACATATTTTGTATATAATTATAGTTATATATATTTCTACATATTTACATATGTTCATGCATAAAAATTTGTTTACTACTGTACTGTAACTGGTAAGGCTTAGAACCATTTGAGTTATATATACTTTAACAATGGTAAAAAGATATTTTTCTCGCTTTACATTGAAACAAAAAGAATTACGAAAAATGTGAATTACGTAATTTATACACTTGGTGTACGGGATTTCCTCTGCTGACGCTAACGCTATTCATTGAAAAGACAAACTAAAAGAGATTTACGGAATGGAGCAGTCTAGAGGAAGCTGATGTACCGAGTTTACTGTAATTTGCGAAACTCTAAGTAAGGGGACAGAATTAATGATACATACTTTCCCCAGTTACTCTCTGTTCGAGTAATTGTGCTTACATTAGTATTTCTGGAATCTCCGTGCAAATGCATAAATTAATAAATTACCGTAATCGACGCGGAATACAAATGTATTTACTGAGAAGCGAACACGTGTTTCCGAGACTTACCGGAAGAATCCTCGAGATCGAACATGAAGTTCATGTACGTTTGTTGCCACTCGAGTGCGTGTGCCGGGTCTTTCGCGTAGTCTTCCCACATCGAGTACCACTCATCGCGACTGATCTGAAAGGTATGCGACTGTTAAAACATCGGATACACATATCCGTTTCTGATCTGCGAACTGTGTCTCCGCATGACGTTTTTAAATTTTAACCGTAAGTCGCAGAATACATCGCGAAATATTTTTTTAAGTTGTAAAGTGGAGAAGGCAAATATACATATATATATATATATATATATATGCAAATAGTTACGAGGTTATTTTTGTAGTAAAAACGTTAGTAAAAATCGATAGAAAACGGGATAGTTACGAGGTTATTTTGTGAAAACGTTGTAAAAATCGATGAAAACGGGAACAAAAAGCGGAACGGAGATATCCTAAAAATTCAGGATGTTATTTTGGGAACTATAAAATATGAGAAAGAAAGAATATGTTAAAGTCCGATAAATCATAACTTGAGTTTGTCATTAAAGTCAAGGCCAGAAATAGTTTAACCGTCATACTTGTCCGTCTTGATCGGCATCGGCCCGTTGTTGCAGTCCTTCCCAAACCTTAGTCAAGGTATTTTTAATGTGTTGTGACGTGGCATCGTCCGGCTTCCAATGTCTGGAGTTGCAGATTCGCTATCATAAGAAGAAATAAACGCGAATTAATTGAAATTCCTGATTGATGAGTGTGATCGACATGGATGAAAAAGAAGTAATCACATGTTTGAATCTGTGACATCCAAAATCGATATTCATAGTTCGTTCTTTAAAATCGTCTTAAGCAATGTCTTAAGATGCTACGGCTTTGATTTATGAGTTTTTAAGTAGATATGTACTTAAGACAATCTTAAATATAAGAATCGTCTTTGAATATTAGCCTAAGATGCAGTAGATCAGATTTGCTTTATTTCGAGAATTTGTAAATTTGGTAATCTTTGTTCGTAATAAAAACACATAACAATGAGAAAGAGAGAGAAAGAAAATAATTTAATTAATTTAATAAAAATAATTTAATTTAATTAATTTATATGCAATGCTTACTTGCACGGCAAGATCAAAATCCTTTACGTCGATGGTGCCACTTTGATTAACATCTGGGAAAAATAACAGCAAAACGTTATCATTATTATCTAATTGTTGATGTTTATTTATTTAAATTTATGATTTAATTAAAAATTCAATTATCTGGCGTAATATTTTATTTGTCGAATTCTCTTGCGAAGCTATTTATTATTTTGAACAAAATGCTACTCCAGCTGTCGCTAACATTTCCCGAGGCACATCGTACATTTTCTCGCTTAAAGGACAAGATGAACGATCATGCCACTCGATTTTGGTCCCGCTTGGCTGCGATCGGATATCGTTAGTTTTCTGAAGATGACCCATTTCCGTTGCGGGTTTATTCGTTTTCGCGCGGTTTCCGCCCGTGTCGTTTATTAATTCCGTTTCACTGTAGGAAGCTATCCTCTCCGTTTTACCCTTTCCTGACTCCCATAATCGGAATCCTTTTAAGCACCGATTACGATTCAACGAGGTAGAATTTATTGTCTCCCCGGTATTCCGTTGAGCGGTTGACAAACCGAGGTCACGATGAAATAATTAATACCGACGTCCGGGCGTGCAGCCGGTGTCTTTAATGGTACAACTTGTTGCAAAAACTCTGAACTCACAGGCAGATTAAAAATCGATTAATCGGATTTCCCTATATAGGACTTCGCCCTGATCGGTGGTGGGATGGTGAATATAATAAATGGATATCATACCTTTTCCCGTGAACCAATACTCCAAAATCAGGATGTTGTCGCTAATATAATGTCAATTATTATCGCCAAATGATATGAATCATGAATCGCTAACTAATTAAAATAATTATTAATAACTATTAATGATACAAAACACTACGACTTGGAGCTAACACACAATTTCGCGAATTCGAGGAACAGAACGACCGTTTTACTGATGGTACATCGCGGTATCCAACCCTTCCCCCATACCTAATTCACGGTGAAATAGTCTGTCGGTCCCGCAGAAGCGGGATATGTTTAGCGGCCAATCGACGGCGATCAAAGAGGAGAAGAAAACGAGGGGTTAATGAGGGCTACCAGGCGTGTGCACGCCTGTGACCTCCATGATCCGCACTACGTGCGGCGCACTATGTCGCTTATGTACACGCATACGTGCCATATATGCATACTCACGTACCATATCACACACACACGCACACGCACACACACGCGCGCGCGTGCGCGCGCACATATGCATATTCGCGGTATTCCGCCCCCTACGTGACTCTGCTTTGTACGAGGCATTTTTACTGTTTTGTGTCGTCATAAAAACACTTGCATACATTGAAACGCGTCCACGGGGTGAAATCCTTTCGTCCATTAAGCACCGTAAGTAGAATGCATGAAGCGAATGTTTCAAGGGACAACCCGGTAATGTCTGAGATGTAAAAAAAGAAAGCACAATACCTTCCGAATAGAAAAAAGAACGTGAAATTGACAAAAGTCTAATTAAATCGTGATAGTCGTCGGTCGTCCAATTTTTAACGCGGCTTCCCAACTGATGATCGCAAAGCGCTAATGTAAAAAACTAAATCTCATATAACTTTTTCATCCTTCGTGCGACATTATTTTCCAATTCAAAACCGTGCGAACAGAAAGTATCATTTCGGTTCGGTGGTCGGGAAAAAAAATTTTTTTACAACTTTATCGTGAAATAAATGAAAATTCAACTATTTAATGTCAAATATAATTTCGCCTCGTTGTATTTAATGTCAAAACGTGATTCCACTTTATTATGTCCGATATGGCGCGATATGGGGGGATCCACGAAAGAGAGAAAAGTGGCACTATAGAGAGCCTCTTGAAGCGACTCTGCTGGAGGGACACTCACTTCCACGCACGCACGCCCGAGGGAATTAGAACACGTGCACACATCATACGTGGCGGAGCAACCCCTTAACCGGACCTGACGGCGTCCATTGTTTATCTTCTCCACAGTTCGTACCGTAAATAGGCGTATACACAGCTAGCCTCGCTCTTACCCGAATGGGTCGACACATAGGTACCACACGGAGACCACACACCGCGCTCGCGCAACCCCGTTTTCGCTTCCATTTCCCCAAAAAGAGCCGCGGGAGAGGCCGCGAGGGCAAGCGGACTCCGTATTTCATTCTTGTCGAAACGATACGGCTTGCGCAGCTTTTCGCGAAGGGAGGGCGCGAGAGAAGCAGGGAGGGCGAGTGAAATAGGACCGTTTTAGGAGAGAGAATCAAGAGAATCCTGGGCGAGGATGCCAGCCGAGGATGATGGGACTACGAAGGGAAACGGCGGGAAGGCCATCAAGGAAAAAGCGACACCTCGTTCGTTACGTTAACGCTCGATGAGGATTTGTTTCGTCGAGAACGTACGGAACGACGAAAGAGATTTTCGTCCAACGAGCGCTGCGGGGGCGGTAAATGTTATCTTGAAATGTTGGGGAAACCGTTCGCTCCGTTGTCAAGCGCATTTGGCCAGTAGTTGGGCTAAATCGCACAAGAAAGAGAACTAAAGTACTATAAGTTAAATTAAGATTGACGAAAGTAAGTTAATAATTTTCTTATCAAGTTTCCTTTCGATTACTGAATCGTGTTGCGATCATTTAACACATCGGCAAAACTTTGAAAAATTTTATTTACAGAAAACATGTATCTTCGTTTGGAAAAACGATGACAAATAAATTACACAGCAAGCAGATAGCAGCAGCTAGGTTTTTATATTGCGAATAAAAATAATTTTACAAACGAAATAATTTATAAATTGTATTTAAACAAACTTTTGTACGTTTCATCATTATGCGAAATATAAACAGTCACGAGAAAGGGATGACTGAGATTCTCGTCTGGATGAATGATGTAAAGTCAGGCTTGAAGAGCTAAAAATATCACCGTTATACTACGGTTGAGACAGCTTTGTCGCTGTTATTATTTGCCTTCATTTAATATCCAGCTTTCAAAACGATCGATAGGCTTTTAATTTTTCATTATAAACATTGCGGGGGATTTTTTTAGTGGAATTTATTCGGCGAAATGATGGCAGTTTTATTTACGCGATTGTCGTTAATAACAGAAATATTGCTGTTTAATAATTGCAAATTAATATCCAGTTGAAATTAATATCTGTGAATTTTAACTGTGTGTACAAATTTTCACTGTATTCACTCACCGAAGAAAGCGTTGAAGACGAAGAGTAATTTTTTCTTGCGGAACTCCGATAACGGCATCTTTGGACCCTGCGAAGTTAAGAAGAGAGAAAGGAGCGTTAGATGTGTGCGTAGTGTTAATATTCGTTCGCGATCGAGTGACGATCAGGGTCGATTGTCTCGAGCGACCGACCCTTCTTTTATCTCGAGAGTAAAAAGTAATCGTGTCTCGCTTGTACGTGTGTATGTGTGTATGTGCGTATCAGGCCACTTTATACAATCCGGCCCGATATTCGCGAGGTCATTATGAACACGGCGGTGACGGTTTAACGTAACTTGCAATTTTTATCGAAAATATTATTAAACTTGTCTCATCGCTCCTCGGAGATTTTATCTCGATTAAATTTATTAATTAATCTGTTCTTTTTAATAGATAACATTTTTTCACATCATATATATATATATATATATATATATATATATATATATATATATATATGTGTGTGTGTGTGTGTGTGTGTGTGTGTGTGTGCCATTATTTTTTATTATATTCTAAGACGTTAACGAATGACGTAAGTTATTTTAAAATATTACATTGATAATCAATAAGCTATATAATTATTTCTAATGTAATAATTAATACAATAATTAAATACAATTATTTAATGACAAACTACATTTGTGTATAATAAAAATACGTGATAATCTCAGCTATAATTAATTACGGATTAGATAAAAAAAAAACGGCACACTTACGACGGAGATTGCGAGAAACGATTAATAGGTTTTAAAGAGCTTTCCCGCACTCTCTTTTCTATCTGAAACGACTGTGGTGTTCCCCAGCGGCGTCAGTCTTTATATAATAATCTCTCGAGTTCAAGAGAACTTCTCTTTTGCAATAACGGCAAACCCAACACCTTTACTGACGCACGTTTCGTTATAATTTTTTAACGACAACGATAATTCGAGTTATCTAACTAATCGCGGCTGCACAAGCATGTATGATGTATAAGTGACGCGCCTCGCTTTACGCAGTTCCTCCTTTTTTTATTTTTGGATCCGCTTATATAAAGACACTCGATAATTGTCGATTATGTCTCGATAAATGACCCCGATTTTCTTTTAAAGGAGATACGTCTTCCCAACGATCAGATTTTAATAACGCATATGCCACTATCGTTAATTCGTTCATTTAAATATCTCCTTTTTTAAACAGTTAATTTTTTATTTTATTAACATGCGTACATTTTTAAGTGCGATTTATATACTGACCACGATTTTTTATTCTTTGAAAGATTTTTCTATGTAGTACAAAATTTTTACATAATGTCCTGTTTATCAGAAATTTGTTTGCAAAATTATGTGAAATTTAATAATAATGTGCTTAAATTAATTGAGATTGATATCAATGATGAAGCAAATATCAGCGAAATGATGTATTCTAAAACTTAGATGAAACTTAGATGCATTTTTTTCATAAATCTAATATTACTTTTCGCGATAAAGATGTAATCAAGAAAATATGAATGTGTGAAATGACACAAATTATTCAATCGAGTAATGAATGAATGCTTATTTAACTAATATATATTTGATATTAATATAGCATTTTCCTGCTGTTTGTTATCATCGATATTGTATTAATTTTACATAAACGGTATAATTCATGCACAATATAATAAACTTCAAATAATCCACAAAATGATTAAATTATCAACAAAATGAGTAAATTATGCATGATTCACTTTAAAATAATTTATATTTTTCTTCTTAATGTTGTATACAATATGATTATATTAATCTAATTGCAATGGAATAATTAGTCACAGTATTGCGATCTGTTTAATTTATTAATAAAAATAAATTATCTAGTGTATTTAATATTAACTACTGCAAAATGATATATTTTATCTATATTTTTTATTTTATGGATAGTAGGAACGAATACTTGCAATCTCGAAAGCAATTTTATTTAGCTTTCATGCAGCCAGACGAAATTTGTCTCTCGTTTTCAAGTATCTTCTTGAATAATTGAATCCTTAAAGTCTCATTTACATTCGCCGACGTCTTTTGCAGGTTAACATAAGAAACTTATCGTTAAAAACGATTTCAAACGGTTGCAGTGATAATCGAGATGCAATTCTGCAGCGGTAATTAATGCAAATTAAATTCTCACTATAACGTGTTAGAATTATGTATATTATAAAAAGTAACGTTTACTCGAATTCTTACTGAAGAAATTGTCGATTTCCGCATCTCTGAGATGTTAGATGAGCACGGGAGAACGACAATATATCTGATAATTATCGGAATATCATTGCGGAATGATTAATTCCGCTTTCTGATACTGCCAATAATATTCGCATCATTCTATTTATTCTGATGTCAATTCGTGCGTGGAATCGTCGAACGTGCATATTTATCTTATAATCGGACTCTTGGTTAACGACGTTACTGACGTCGAGCAGAAATGACTACGAAGCACCGATGCTCCGCGTATATTGTTCACGGCTTAATAGTTAATTCTAATAGTTAATTAAATCAACAATTTGGCGCGCGAGCTCCGTGTAAACAATATTCGCCCGCCCAACTGAGCGGACTGTGTGTTCATTATCGGATAATTAAAATTCGATAGGAAATTCACGGCATTTGCCTGATACTCGCGTATTATAACATACACAAAACGCAATTTAATTTAAAAGCAATATTAATCGATCGGCGACTTTTATCGAAATCTCCTGCTTTGATCTTGCGGAAATCTTGTGTTACTCGCCCTCGGCTACGATTTATCGATCGTAACATTTAGACGATGCTGCATTGTTCGTGGCATACGCTATGGCTGTCTGTGAATGATATCCCGACAAAGATCAAGATACAAAGATCCCAATGGCGTTATGATGCAAAGACTATTGTGTCCCATAAGCATACGCTTGCATTATGGGGGCGAAAATGTTATCACTATCACTGCAATCTTGTTATCTGCATGCGTTAACATGCTAGTATGAAGTTTAATGGATAACATATTGTAACACGTTACACAGTGTAATCAGCGGTGTTAAAAGCATCGTAATTCTTAGTTATATACGCACAAGTAAATATTAAAAACATTCTTTACAAAATATATCTTACAATTTGATAAATATCATTACAGATATATTCTTTAATCGTTCTTTAATAAATAAAAATATAATTTTTTAAGACTTGTGTTTTATGTGCGTATGTCTCTTTTTATGTGCGTATGTGTCTTTTATCGAAAGTATAATTGATTAGAAAAAAATTGAAATAAAATTTTTAGCGCGCTGCTTTACTGTCATTTTACGGCCAAGAAACATTCGAACTTGAAGAATTACATTAAAACGCAAGACTTAAGTAAGATTTCTTTCAGCTATTACTCCTTGTGAAGTTGAAGAAGGAAAATGTCGAAAAAGTCGTCCAAGTCCTTTACGAGCTGCACTTCGTGAAAACTATGATGATCATAGCCATGTATCTGCCATTTGTCTCGCGCGCCTTTTGAAGCCGCCGAGAGACACGTTTTTCTCTCGGAATAGAGATCTGTCGAATCATGCTATTAATCTTTTCAGAAAATACCGCCGTATACCAGCCGTATTTTATAAAAATTTTCAGTGGCAAATATATTACAGGAATTTTTATTTTCGATTTACATATTTTCCACGTGTAAAGCATATATCCGTGCTACAACCGCACGTATTATTTATTTTGTTTAAAAAATACGTTAAACTTACATTATATATTTTATTTCGGTATTGCACATCCGTTGAGAGTTGAACTGAGCATTTAAATCTGAGAGAATATTCACTTGCGAAAGTCTGCGATTGATATTCCACCTAGCTCGCGGGAATAATCGCAGGAGCAAATTACTTATTCGTCCGGTGTCGCATGAAGTGCAATTTTCTCTATTTATGACTGCGTGGCTCATCTTCCTTCAGCCTCCAATTTGAGCCCCCATAACGAAGAATCGTGCGCTTCTCTTCTAAAAACTTCTAAAGCGGGATGCTGCCGACACTTTCACAACCTACCACGATAATGCTTCAACGGATCTCACGTCCACGCGAGAAAGTGGTTATGATTTTCCTGGGTGTCGTCATCGCATTTAAGGCTGACCCGACGTATATAAAATACAGAAATTGTTGTAAAAACACGAACTTTGTTGCTTTTAAATAATTTCCTACATTCGCACGTTATATTTGCGTGTTATATTTACAAATAGAGTCGTTGGATCGATGATATGTTATTAATATGATAATGTTATATTAATATGTCATTATTTATTAAATTAACGACAAAAATTAATAACGACTTATATTTCATAATATGACAAAAGATTAAAATTCAAACATAAATAATCAAAATCGAGCGTTTAAAATTTACTGGGATACAAATCAATTTTGCAGTATACTATAAAATAAATCTCAAATAAAATAAATTTTAATTTCTTTGTAAATGCTAATCTTTCTCATAAATAATAATGCTCTTTTATTATATCTCTTTTTCACAGAAAATCCGCGAAGCGGAAAATTTCGAAGAAAATTGCGCAACTATTAAATTCGTATTTCTCACTCGCTTACGTTTTCTCTCACGAAATCCTCCGTTAAAGTTTCCACGCCGTTTTTTATTAACAATACAAAATTCGCAAGATTATAAAGTCAGTGTTACTATTTTTCATTGTTCCGTCGCAACATTAGTTGCGCATTTCGAGACGATGTACACCATCCATAATTAATTTCATTGTACAAATGACATTGCAATTTTCTCTTATCGTGGATCTTTTCGCGAGAAGTACGCAAATATTCGATCCTTCCGATGTTATTATCCAGATTGTACGGTAAATACAAAGTATATATATATGCTGCGTCAGCGAGGAAAAAAATATTTTTATTTTCGTGGAAGCTACCCCTCGATTTCACTTCGCGCGGATTCATCTTGCAAATCTCGAGGAGACAAATTCGCGAGATGAAGCGGGACGATAACGGGATGTAAAGCTGCGACATAGATTTAAAATACGGCGACGTACATTTAAAATACATTCTTTCAGAGGCAACGAGCTCAGAAAAAAAATAATCGTTATGAAA